TCTTCCCTGAACACACAAATAAGACTAGTGTCAAACAAAAAAGAAACTGTTGGCAGTATCGTGGAGGAAACCTATCTGAGCACTTTAAAGCTTAAAATACTAACTTATTTTTGTGTTTGGATCAAGTCATAATAAGCATCCGATCAAATCATCATTTTTCTGGTACTGATGCACTTAATATACTTGTTGGGCTGGCCATAGCTGACATGGGTTCTTAAGTGTGAAGTTCTGTATTGCTGTTTTGCAATAAAGTATTAGTCCAGTGGACTGCTGTTTCCACTTTGTAGCTCATGGGTATCTGGGTGGGGGAAAAATGGCATGAACTAATGTCAAGAGTCATCCACTGACACAGTGCTTTATAACCTACTGCATTTCTGAATTTCAATATGTAAAAGCTGTATTTGACTACTTTCACTTTCTGTTCAAAACGGTCCTGTCCCTGTCCCCCCTCCCCCCTCATAATCCACACCTAGGATACAGACTTGATTTTGGTGCAATTGAGTTGTCTCTGGACAACTCTTTTTTTCTAATCCTTGCTGGGGTAGAAGAGATTTGGAACACTATTAGAATATGTGAAAGAGAAGATGCTGTGTTAATTTTGGATGCATCTTTTTAATATCAACTACTAAGTCTTCTCTTTACAAAGCTTCTAAAATATGTTAATCTTATAAATATTACTTTGTGCAATATTGTTTTGTGTAGACTTATATGCATATTAACACCTCAGTATAGAGGTCACTATTTTAAACTGATAGCAAAATAATCATTGGAAAATACTGCAGTGGTTAGTTAGTCTGTATTACTCCTTATGTGTATGTATGTATTATCTTCGGTACAAAAACAAGCTAGAAAAATATTTCAATTAAACTTATTTACAGATTGAAGTGGTAGTGACTTGTTTAGTAATCTGTGTAAATAAGGTGTTAGAATGGAGAGCTTTTATGAAAAGTAATGTGACTTCATGCAGGGGTATAATTTAATATTAGCAGAAATTCTAGATTATCGAGACTGGTTCAGAAATGGGCCTTCTCTTGTCTAGTGGGTTTTCCACTTTTGTTGAGGAATTTCATAGAGCTTTAAGGGTTGTGCAAAGTAAAATTCCTCACAGGCAATATTGGTTTTCAGCTCATCCTTCATCTTCACAATGGTTAGGAACAGTTGTGTAATCCTTTGTTTATTCGTTCTGCTAGTCTTCCAAGTGCCCATTTCCCTTCTCCCATGTGCTATTCTTTGGGCCACATTGGCAAAGATGGCATCAGTCCATCTACCTAGGTCATTGCTGACTAACGTGACTGTCACTTGACAGTCAGCACTGTGTACAATCGCTCAGGAATCTCTGAATCTGCAAAGACCTTACAATCAAAAGAAGCTGTTCATCTCTTCCTAAAACATTGTCTCTGTGTTCTGAAATACAAAACTGAACTTTAGCCAACACAACTTAAGGTTAAGAAGCTCTCTACATCACTTTTATTCCATTTGAACTTGAAACAGAATGAAAAGGGAAACATTACGTTCGTAAACACATTGGAAGTTCTCAGAATTACAGTTCTAATGCTGTGCTTTTAAACTGCAAAGCAAAGTAGACCAGCATTTCTTCACGCTTGCTTTAAAAACAAAAAAATCTTAATAGTGAAATAGCAAGAAAACTTAGTTGATAAATTCAGTCTGGAACCATGGTAACATACAGTTCCTGTAAGGGATATGCTATCTCCAAACCTAGTGTCAAACTGATGCCCTCTTCAGCATAAATGCAGAATGTAATTGATGAAAGAATACTTCAAGTAAAACTTCACAACACATTACACCTATTTTCTCATCTTAATTTTGCCTGGCCAAGTGATGATATTTATGAAGAAATATTAATGTAAACTGTTTTTAAAATTCAAAATGCCATACTGCTTTGGAACTTGGAATCCAAGATCCAGCCCTCGGTAAATGTAGGCGTGGGGAGAATTCCTTGTGAAACTGATAGCTCAACTGCTTTGTTAACGCTGTATCTGCGGTACAGACACTGACAAATGGCAACTGAAGTCGTGCCTTCAGAGGCGTATGATTCGAAAGCCATTTACTGAATAATAAATCAGAAAAAGAGATATTGTAAATTTTATTTTTCTTGTCCTGAGTTACAAGTGACAGATGGACAAGTTCAACCTATCCAGTGCTATATTCAACAAATCAAAGTTCTGGGTTGAAAAGTGAAAATACTTGCAAATAAGTTTCTGAAAAAGTCCAATATCTGATTGCGACTTGCTGTCTGTAAAATAAATAAAATAAAACTAAAAAATCAGAATTTAGCTTAAGTTTGCTTCTATTTCAATGTGCAAACAGAATCCTCAACTTCACTGGCAAGTCTATGGTTGTCTGTTTCAACAGCTTAATAAGAACGAGGGCTTCCAAATGTTATATATATCTGTATTTCATAAAAAGTCTCAGAAATCCTCTCAATGCATATTTGTACTTACTGATGCATAAGGTCAGTTTAGTGTAAATGGTTGTAGCTCCATTGACAGAGGGCCTGCCCTGTCCTCTGGGAGTTGTTTAATTATGTTGTTAGACATATAAGTATTTAGTTGAAATGTGAAATAAGTTTCTGCCTTGTACCACAGAGAGATTGCCAATAGCAGTACTCCAGGAACGTAGTGTTTCATTTTAGAACGATCAAATGGATCTAAGCTGAAAATGGGCCTGGCTTCTCTTCTTAATAGAGAAGACCATTTCTTTACCAAGCGCAAAAGAAAAAAAAAGTCCTATTGGAAAAGTGAATGACCATATTGTGCCAGAGATCGATTAGAACAATAGAGAATCTAAAAATGAGATCTTAATAATTCCCTCTGTCCTTGGGTGTCCAGGACATCATTCTGTTTAGATACCTGGCCTATTTTAAGAGTACTTTTTGAAGTCAACTAGCTCAGTTCTTCTGTTCTCTTCCAAGAAGGTGGGACACTCAGTGAAGTGTTCGCAGGGGAGATGTAATCCTTATTTTTCCTTAGTTTTTTTGCCATACAGAAAAAGGGCTCTTACTTTGTCAACTATTTGGTTCTTGTCTCTTGGCCTACTGCTATTTTACTCAGAGCTGCAGAATGGACAGGAATTAAACTCCTTCATTTGGCTCCTTCTGCGATTCACAAGGCTGCATTTACAGGATTGGTAAAATCTTTACATTTGCCGCAAACGCTAAACGTTTTTATAGTCTTATTAGCGCCTTTTTGAAAGGTGTGAGGCAAGGGAACACTTATTTTAACTCCCAGAGGGGGGACATTCTTCACCTGGAAGCTTGTACTGTATGATGTCGGTCTGACAGACTTCCCCCAGCGATGGCCTTCCATGAATATACATGATACTACTTAGGATCCAATAGCACATGTAGGGGAGAAGGTGTCATTTAAGGCACCTCTCAGTTGTGTCTAGAGAATGCATATACTTCTAATTTCTTTGTACAATGTGTAAAGATACTTGTAGGAATGTTTGTGATTTTTTTTTTTTAATTACTTGGTTTTTAATTGGCAGCTAAGATTATTTTTTTTTCCTGTGGTTTTAATTTATCTAAGGTCTCTGCCTACAGAGGACACGTACCATTGCCTGGAAGACTGTTTGCTTTGTGCGGCCTTAGTATATTTATTGACATTTAACAAGTGTTTTAAAGAGGCTTTTATAATGAGTAGTGTAAACAGATACAAAAATTCTAAACTTCTGTGTGAATAATCCTCTAACACAGTGCATTTCTTTTAGTAGCTGACTGTACAAGCGTGTTAAAATTGTTGAGCTATTTCTTTGTAAAATAGTACGATGGAATGCATAGAGTTTTTTCCTGTAAAGTATTTTTTTAATAAACAAAGTCTGATTTTTTTTGTCCTTTACTTGAATCACTGGTTATTAAGCGGCGACAGCGTGTGAGATGCTGACGAAGTTTAGACTAGAACGCAGAGTTGTCCTTGGTCCCAGGACTTCCCAAAAACCTCTCTCTGCAGTGCCGTACCAGAGGCTCCCCCCCCGGTGCCACCCAGCTCCCCTCTACCGCTAGCCTTCCCCGCATGGGGACTCCTGTAAGTACAGGCGAACAGAGAACCTGGAACAGGTTTTCCAGAGCCAGAGAACAGAAAACCACTTGCCCAGCAAAGCCAGTGCGTTAAAAATGACACTCGGGGTGCATCTACGCATGTCCTTTAATGCACATCGACCTATTTAAATGCCACCCCCCACTGCCCCCCATGTGCTTTCTCTAATGTGCATTCACATGGGCGAATGTGCCCTTTCCTAGTATCTCACAGTGCAGGTGCTGAACTTACTGCACGTTCACGTGCCCAAGATGGGTCTCTCTGCCGCCTGCCACTCGTCACATGCACCA